ACTTCTGCCTCCCAAAGTGCTGGGATTACAGGCGTGAGCCACCACACCCAGCCTCTGTTGTTTTTTAATTGCTTACTAATTTTGCTCCCAATGTCCTCAACTCTTCAAGCACTGTTTTTACAGTAAGGCTAATGGCCTTTAAAAGCTTATTGTCTCAAGGCATAGTTCTTCAGTTTTTCCAGTCTGAAGCAATTTAATTAACCCACCATTGATAAATGACTTAACTTGGTTAACTAATGGGCCACTTGGAAACTTGAGTTGCAGACTCATTTTTATTTTTGTGAAGAAATTCTGCTGTGATGAGATTTCATTTTAATTTTTAAAAGCTTCCCTCACCATTGCTTTACTATCAGTTGGGATTGCTGTGATGAGTGCTTAATCTGGTAACATCAGTATATATTGTGGGGTTTTTTTTTTTTTTTTTTTAGCATAGCTACATAATGACTGCAATGCCTTGGCACCCAATTAAATAAAATCATCCACACTTTATTGTGTCTTAAAAACACAACATTCAAAGTCCACTTTTCCTGCTTTTGACATGATGAGAATGCACTGGTAATAAAAGTAAATAAAATGTTGCAGTACAGCAATAATCATGACGCTGCCAGGTTGTAACTGCATCTCTAATTTGTGATGCACCGAAAAGCAGTGTGAAGTGATGAGAGACCATATGTGGTCTATCACAACTACTCAGCTCTGCCATTGTAGCATGAGTGTCCAGTGACAAATAAGTGACTATGCTCCAGTAAAACTTTACGGCCACTAAAATTTGAATTTCAGGTAATTTTTATATGTCACAAGGATTCTTTTGTTTTACTTTTTTTCAATCATTTAAAAAAATGTAAAAAATTATTCTTAGGCCACATGCCATCTGAACACTGGCATTGGGCTAGATTTGACCCTTTGGCCTTACTTTGCTGAATACTGGTGTAATTTTTCTGCCTTTCTTAATGTAAACATGATTGTAGAAAGATTACCGTACTGGTTGTCAGGAAACCTTGGTGCTCCCACCAAAGTTCTGTGACCGATTAAGTCACGTGAAATAAATTGGGGTTAGGAGCCATGGTGTCTAGTCCTTGACAAGTCATTCCTCAAATTTTTTAATGTAATCTGAATTTCTAGTGTATGCACAGTCACATTTTGTGTGCCTCTCAGCAGCCATTGATTGCATTGTCAAAGAGGCAACCAACAAAGAAAACTGTTGAGGAGGTTTGACCTTTGACAGAAGGGAAACATATAGTTTGAGTCACCCTGGCTTTTTCCTTGAAGGCATTTCCTAGTTGTGTCATAAGGGAAATAGATCCCAAACAAAAAGTCATTGACAGACTTCAGAGGTACACATATGCAAAAGAAGAAACACAGCAGGAAACAGTAGCTAAGAAGCTAAAGATCTGAGCAGACATTTCGGTATCTTATCTAGTGCCAGAGAGGCAAAAATGGAAGTTCAAATCCTTCCTGCCAAGCTAGAGGGGCCTTATTCCACCCTGAGTTTTCATTGTGATGCCATCATAACCACTCCTAAGACTGAAGACAGAACTAAAACAGACCAGACCTCAGGAAAATGTGTTACTGCTGTGCTGCCGCTAAAAGGAAACAACCTTCTTTGGAGAGAGGTGTTATCTAAAACTTTACAGTTTTTTGTCCATAATTCAGGATTTCATTCACCAAAATAGGCTATGCTATTTTGGACAAGTTAATGAAACTGAATTGACCAAAAACCAAATAGAAATGAGTTCAGTAGAAGTTATCTAGTGCTGACAGAGAAAAAAAAAAAAAGGAAAATACAGAAGAGAGCATGAGAGACTAATGTGTTGCTGATATACAGTGGAAAGGTCTATCATGTATAAGAATCCCAGAAAGAGAGGAGATAGGTAATACAATGGGATAGAAATATTGACTAATAATTATCCAAAACAGAGAAAGGTACCAAAGCACAGATTGAAGAAGCTGTATGATTCCAAGCAGAATAAATACAAAGAAAACCATATTGAACATAATTGCTAAAAATCTAAGCGAAAGAGAAAATCTTAAAATCTGCCAGAAGAAGAAAGTCATTAGCATCAGGGAACAATAATAAGAATGATGGCTTATCTATCACCTGAAACTTTGGAAGACAAGAAAATAGAGTGGCATTCTCTTCAAAGCACTGAAAGAAAAAAAAATGACAACCTAGCCTCCTTCCTTCTGTTCTTTCGTCCTTTCGTCCCTCCGTCTTTCTGTCCTTCCTTTCACAGAGTTTCACTCTTGTTGCCCAGACTGGAGTGTAATGGTGCGATCTCGGCTCACTGCAACCTCCACCTCCCAGGTTCAAGTGATTCTCCTGCCTCAGCCTTCCGAGTAGCTGTGATTACAGGCATGTACCACCATGCCCCACAGATTTTTTGTATTTTTAGTAGAGATGGGGTTTCTCCATGTTGGTCAGGCTGGTGTAGAATTCTAAGTCTAGTGAGCATATTCTTCAATAGTAAAGTAAAATAAAGACAAACTAAAGAAAGTACATTACTGATAAGCTGACACTAGAAAATATTAAAGCAAGTTCTTCATGTTGAAAGAAAACAGATAAAAGCAAAGAACTGCAGAAAGAAATGAACAATAGCAAAGGTAAATGTTAATAAGTACAAATTACTTCTGACTCTTTAAAATAATTGTGACTTGTGGGATTTAAAATATGTGGAAACAAAAATACAACAACTGTAGAACAAAAGGCTGGAGGATAATAATCAGTCAAAAGTGTGTTTGTAATCTGTAGAGCAACCTCTAAATGAAAAAAGAATATATCACTAAAAGCTAATAGAGGAGAAAATGGAATAGTAAAAAAAATAATTGATTACTCCAAAGAAATTCAGGGAAAGAGAAAGGAATGAAGAACAAATGGGACAAACAGAACAAATGGCAGAATGGTAGACTTAAAGGCAACTTAATCAATGATTATATTAAATGTGAAAGGAGCAAACATTGAAATTAATGCAAAGCTCAGAAGACCTAACTATTACAGATACTGTTTACAACGGATGTATTTTAAATCTAAGGACACAAATGAGGAAATTTTAAAAGGAGGGGTAGGAGGAGAAATTATCATTCACACATTAAGCAAATGAAATCTGACTTGGCTGTATTTATGTTGGAAAAAGCTCTACAACCAGAAATAACACTAGAGGTAAAGAAGGGCATTGTATAAGGCTAAAAGGATAGATTTAATGGGAAAATATCTTAAATTTGTATGTATCTAATAATATAGGTCTAAAACAAAAAGGAAAGGTTGACAGGTATTATAAAAAGTTTAAAAATAGACAAAACCACAACCGTAGTGGATCAATGCCCCTCTCTCAGTAACTAGCAGAACAAACAGGAAAAAAAATATCAGCAAGGATAAAGATTTGAACCATACAGCCACCCTGACCTAATTGGCAGACGTAGAACACTCCACTCAACAATTGCAGGATATCTATGCTTTTCAAATATGTATGAAACATTTACTGAAATGTACCATGTACTATACCATAAAGCAGAGCTCAGTAAATTTGAAAGAAATGAAATCACAGGTGTCAGCCAAAATCAACTTAATGAAAAATGTGAAAGACTGCCATATTAAAGACTATAGGACATTGCTGAGAGAAATAAAAGGAGAGATACCATATTCGTGGATCGGAAAACTTGAAATTGTTAATATGTCAATTCTCTCTAGACTTACCCACTTATTCTCCGCCCCCCCCCCCTTTTTTTTCTCTCTTCCTTGAGACACAGTTTCACTCCTGTTGTCCAGGCGGCAGTGCAATGGCGTGATCTCAGCTCACTGCAACCTCTGCCTTCTGGGTTCAAGTGATTCTCCTGCTTCAGCCTCCCACGTAGGTGGGATTACAGGTGCCTGCCATCACACCCAGCTAATTTTTGTATTTTTAATAGAGATGGGGTTTCACCGTGTTGGCCAGGCTGGTCTCAAACTCCTGACCTCAGGTGACCCACCTGCCTCAGCCTCTCAAAGTGCTGGAATTACAGGTGTGAGCCACTGTACCTGGTCTTATTCCCAATTTAAAACCTCACAAGTTTGGGGGCGGAGGGGATAGACACAAGCCAATTTTAAAACATACTTGAAAAAGGAAAATCTAAAGAACAAAATTGGGATATTTATATTACCAGATACTGAGACTTTATAAAAATCTGCAATAATTAAGACATTGTGGTATTGATGCCAAAATAGACAAATGGGTAATTGGCTATATAGTGGCTAGAAACAGACTTGTTTCTGTATGGTCACCTGATTTTTCTACAAAGCTGCCTTGCAGTTCAGTGGGGAAGAGGATGATCTTTATGATAAATGGTGCTAAATTAACTGGATGTCTGCTTGGATGAAAACCTTGACCTTTACATCAAACCATACACAAAATTAATTTGAGATGAGTTATAGAATGAAGTGGGCTAAAACAGCAAATCATCTGGAAGGAAATATAAGGAAATAGTTTTAGAGAAGGCAAAGATTTCTTAAATAAGATGCAAAAAGCCCTAAACCAAAAAAAATTGACCAAGTTAAGGGTTTTTTTTCAGATTTTAATTCATTAAAGCACTTCTGTTTATCAAAAAGTTACATTAAGAGATGGAAAAAGACAGTCCAGTTTTAAAGAATGAACAAAAGACTTAAAATGAACTTTGTCAAAAAAATTAAAAAGATACATAAATGGTCCCTTAAGCACATGAAAAAGGTACTCAATGACCAGGCACAATGGCTCATGCCTGTAATCCCAGCACTTTGGGAGGCCAAAGCGGGCAGATTACTTGAGGTCAGGAGTTTGAGATCAGCCTGAGCAACATGGTGAAACCTCTCTCTACAAAAATACAAAAATTAGCTGGATGTGGCAGTGTGCGCCTGTAATCCTAGCTACTTGGGAGGCAGAAGAATTGCTTCAACCCGGGAGGTGGAGGTAGCAGTGAGCCATGATCGTGCCACTGTACTCCACCCTGGGCAACACAGAGAAACATCGACAAAAAAAAAAAAAAAAAAAAAGTTACTCAAAAACCTTAGTCCTCACAGAAATCAAATTAAATCCGATGAATACCACTATACACCCAACAAAATGACTAAAAGTAAAAATGCTGATAATTTACAGTGTTAGGAGGATTATGAATTGGTAGAAACCTTTTGGGTAACTGATGGTATCTACTTCTTAATAAGATAAGCCTTCTCTGTGACCTGAGCAGTTCTGCTTTGTTATATACCTAAGATAAATATAAGTATGGATGTACATAGCATGTGTAATAACCCCAAACTGGAATAATCCAAATAGAATAGTAAAGATATTGTCATATATTCATACAGTGGAATACAGGTTGAATATTTCTTATGCAAAATGCTTAGCACCCCAAGTGTTTGGATTGGGGATTATTCATTTATTAAGTGCTACTGCAGCTCGATTTGGGATTTTTTCAGATCTTTGAATGTGCATTATACTTACCAATTAAGCTTCGCTAATCCTATAATCCGAAATGTTCCAATGAGTATTTTCTTTGAGCATCATATTAGCACTAAAAAAATTTTGGGTTTTGGAGCATTTTGGATTTCAGATTAGGGATGTTCAACCTGTATTTCAAATGACTGTTTAACACTATTAAATGGGTTTATCTCACAGATACAATAATGAGCAAAAGAGCATTACTCTGTTTCTTTTTATCTAAAAGTCAAATTAAAAAACACATCAATATATACTGATAGCAGTAAGAATAGCAACCTGAGGTGTTACTGTCACTGGTTAGGACACACGGAATCTTCAGAGTTGCAGGAAGCATTCTGTATCTTGATCTGGATGGTGGTTACTCAGGTATATAAATAGTTAAAAATGCATCGAGTTAAACCCATAAAGTTAGTATACTATATGTATGTAATATGTTAAAATACTTTCTAAACAGTAATAAGTATGGTAGATATTTGCTATAATGGGATTTTATCTGGTCTGAAATTACTACATGCAGAAAATTTCTAGGAAATTTTTGATCCAGAAATTTTACATGGTGAAGTGGAAAAAGTACTGGCCTTTGAGTTAGAAGACTGGTTCTGAATCCATCTCTGCTGCTTCTCACTCCCTCCAGTCTTATCAAACCTGGGCACTGTGATCTTGTGCGAGTTATTTAATCTCTGTCATTGTACAGTGGAGGTAATAACTTCCCTTTTCAGTTCCCGAAGTGTGAAAAGGATTAAATGAAATGATTGATGTGAAGGGGCTTTGCACCTAATGAAGTATGCTGATTTATAGTATCTATATAATCCAGCGAGGTTGATATATCCAAACACTGGAAACCCTCCTGGATGTTGGGATAGCAGTCTAGTTGCCCTGTGTAACAGGTTGTCTGGATGATTTCTTCCTTTTTTCAGATGATTGAGAAATTTGAAGTCCTCTTAGAAATCTTGAGAATACGTAAAGGAGCAGGACTTTTGAACTGGAAGACACCGGCAGTTGGCCTGAGACGTCTGCCTTATTCTGTCAAACCTTTGGCTAATTTATTTCTAATTTCTAAAACCCTTGTCAGAGTTGTAACCATTGGGCGAACCTTTAGCTGCTATAACTGCATTCATTAACTCTTAAGATGTGACTGATTATTAAGTGCACTTTTATGTGCCACTAAGTTGGGTGGGGGGACGACTGCCAATTATAATTGTAAGAAGCTTTTAATTGCAAGAGCCTCACAACTTCAGAGATATTAATAAAGGGAGAAATGTGCATCCTAGTGAAATATAAAAATATAAAAAGTTTCTGTGCAGTGTGTTTTTGTTTTGATAAATTTTTAGTTTCTGTGGATTTACATGACTTACAAGTTGAAACATTTTATAGCTCTGTAAAAATGTTTGAGTTACACAGTTACTCACTTGGGGAGTCAAAATTATACAGAGGAAGTAAAAGAAATACTAGGTAAAATATTCATCACTTTCATTTGCCTATTTTAAATGGGCACACTGAAGTGACTCACATTAGTCTTTTGACTTGGTGTAGTGATTGCCATCAAATTACAACTAAGTTTTGGTAATTGACTGTTTTTCTTGTCCATTGCTATTATCCCTAAACTACTAATACACAGTAACCTCACAAGCATTTGTTGAATAATTTAATACCATTTGTAAGTAATTACTTTTAGCTGCCTGTCTGTTGTCTGAAGCCAGTATGAGACCTTTAATTCTACCAAGGTGAATACTTTTTTTTTTTTTTTTTTTTAGGCGGAGTTTTGCTCTTGTCTCCTAGGCCGGAGTGCAATGGCATGATCTCAGCTCACTGCAACCTCTACTCCTGGGTTCAAGCAATCCTCCTGCCTTAGCCTCCCAAGTAGCTGGGATTACAGGCACCCACCACCATGCCTGGGTAGATAATGTTGGCTAGGCTGGCCTTGAACTCCTGACCTCAGGTGATCCACCCTCCTCGGCCTTCCAGAGTGTTGGGATTACAGGTGTGAGCCCCAAGGCCAGCCACATTTTTTTTTCTTTAACTAAAAAAAACATTTAAAACTAAAGCTGAGATGTCTTTTTGGTGTTAGAAGAAGCCAAATGTGCCTCAGAAGTAGGTAATTGATGTTTGAGAACTAACACTAAGGAAGCTATATTCCCATAATAAAAGCAGTTCTGCTGATCATTGTTTTGATTTTCAGGGGTAGTCTTAGAAACTAGCATATTTGCTGTAGTACATTTGAATATTATCTGTGTCTCCTCTTTATTGCCTCCTTTTTACTTTTATATTAATGGATTATATAGCTTTTGCATGTGGAGGCCTTTTTTTTTTTTTTGCCTCTTATTGACCTGACAAAGGAATCAGCAATTTTTAGTAAGAAATATTTGGACTTTTATTTTATGGTTGAGATGGGGTCTCACTCTCACACAGGCTGGAGTGCAGTGGCGCGATCTCAACTCACTGCAGCCCCCACCTCCTGAGCTCAAGTGAACCTTCCACCTCAGCCTGTGAGTAGCTGGGACCACAAGCATGCCCAGCTAATTTTTTGTATTTTTGTTAGAGATAGGGTTTCATCATGTTGCCCACGGTGACCTAGAATTAGCTCAAGCAATCTGCCCACGTCAGTCTCCCAAAGTTCTGGAACTACAGGTGTGAGCCTCCGTGCCCAGCCTTTATTTTTATATTTTTAGAGACAGGGTCTTGCTGTGTCACCAAGGCTGGAATGCCCTAGTGCCACCAGAGCTTACTGCAGCCTGAACCTCCTGGCCTCAAGCAGTCCTGCTACTATGCTAGGCTAATTTTGTTTTTGTTTGTGTTTTCAATCTTTTGTAGACACAGGGTCTTGCTTTGTTGCCCAGGCTGGTCTCGAACTCCTGGCTTCAAGCAGTCCTCCCGCTTTGGCCTCCCAAAATGCTGGAATCACAGGTGCAAGCCACTGCTCCCAGCCCATTTTCTTAAATGCCATTTCGAGATCAAATGAGAGCTCAGCAGTAAATTTAAGGTTAAAGGGAGACAGGGGATGTTGATGAATGGAGATGATTATGAGTTCAGTAGGGCAAATAAGAAACTGTTGTCTCTATGCACCATTCTACTCCACTTCATCCCAGAGGTTACTGGAAACCATATTATCTTATTCAGTAATGCAAAAATGCCTCACTCCATCTAAATAGCCTTTAGAGGTTTTGATATGATACTCTATTGGAACTATAACAATATGTTAAAATTTAATACATAGTTGATATCTTTTTTGTATTTGTTTTGATCAGAAAGTGGAGATAATGGTTGCTAAAGTTTTGGGGACTCCTGATAACATTCCAAGAAAGTGTGTGAAGCTAAATCACCTACTGACAATTACTATTTAATCTCCCTTTCTTCATAGCACATTGTTCTAAGTGATGCTATTCTGGCATCCTACTACATGCAAGATGAGAAGGCAGGCCAAACCTTAAAGGATGCTGGCTCTGAAGTCTTTTAGGTCTCTTCAGCTACTAGGCCCCAAGTTGGCCACGGGACAGCAAAGAACAGGACTGGATTTCATCAGCAGCAGACTTGAGGCACATCACCAGGAACCAGTAACAATGGAAATAGAAGTCAAAGATCATAGAATTTCTAACATTATTTTAAACCATGGGACCAAATAGGGTAGTTTGCTGTCTATGTGACTTTTCTGATTTTTAAAATATGGGCATGACTCTTTTTAAAAGATTGTTATTATATGAGTAAATTTTAGAAAACTGACTGTTGTATTTATTGTTTGTCAGTACGAGGATGTCGACCAGGAAAGATTGTGCAGATGACTGAAGCAGAAGTTCGGGGTTTATGTATCAAGTCTCGGGAGATCTTTCTCAGCCAGCCTATTCTTTTGGAATTGGAAGCACCACTGAAAATTTGTGGTATGTAAATGGGTAAAGTTGCAGAAAACTCTTTTGAATCCTGTTTTTTCTCCCATGTTTACATTGAAGATGATCTAGAGAAAACATTTCCTGAAAATTTTGTATAAAACAGATCAGTAGGCCTTACTAAATAAAAGTGTATAAAAATTGAAATCTTTATACCAATGACAAGTTACAGACAAGAAGAAAGTACTTGCTATATTTACAACAGATAAAAGGAGTTCTGTTTATAATATATAAAGAGTTCTTAGAAATAAATAAGAGAAAGACATTGCAATATAAAAATAATGAGGAAGATCTTAGAAGAAATTCAAATGGCCAATAAACACCACAGGGTCCTCAGCCTCTCTAGTAATCAGTGATGTGCAATTTAAAACAAGTCTCCAAATCTAGTCAGATTACAAAAAAATACCAAAGATTAATGTTTAATGTTGTCAAGGATGTCAAGAAAATGGCATTTTAGTACACTGGTTAGGAAAAAATAGGTATAAAATTTAGGGGGTCTATGTGGTAATATCTGTGGTCTTTAACTTTGATGTTAAATTTATTTTGAAGATTATACTACTTTATAACTTGTATTCTTTTAAGTTTTACAAGTAGCTTTTTAACAGTCCATTGTACAGTGCTCAGCACGTAAGAGATACTAGCTAAGTAAATATTTGTTGAATGGATCAGTTAGTATAGAATTTCACACCTTCAAAGTAAGAGGTAGTAGTTCAGGGGGAATGATCAGTCCCTTGTTTAAACTTAAATGAAGCAAATGTAATTACTTAGAGGTGATCTCAAAATGATTAGAATTATTCTTTGAAGGTGTTCTTTAAAATGCAGAAATACCTTGAAGGTAATAGAAGTTATTTGTACAACATATTTCTAAAATTTTACTATTTGTCTCCATATTTGGCATTAAAAAGTGACCTAACTTAAACTGCCAGATAATAAGATTGTTTTAGTTATCTATTGTTGTATAATAAATCATTCCAAAACTTTGCGGCTTACAGCAACATTAATTTACCATCTCACAATTTCTATGGGTCAGGAATTCAGGATCAGCTTAGTGGGTCCTCTGGCTCTGGGTCTCTCACAAGGCTCCAATTAAGGTGTGATCACGGGCTGCAGTCATCTGAAGGTTGAACTGTGAAAGGATTCAGTTCCTTATAGGCTGATGGACTGAGAGCCTCAGATTCAAATGAGCTGTTGGCCAGAGGCCTCCCTCAGTTCTTTGCTACATGGGGTGCTTCATTAGACAGCTGGTTTCATCAGCAAGCGTGAAAGAAAGTGAGAGTGCCATCAAGATGAAAGTCACAGTCTTTTGTAACTTAATCTTGGAAGTGACAGCCCATCTCACTTTTGCTGGTTAGAAGTAAGTTACTAAATACAGCCCATACTCAAGGGCAGGGGAGGATTACACAGGATGTGAATATTTCACAGAAACTGCTTATAACAGTAACCAATTTTTGTAAAACTGAGTTTTTCTCTTTTTAGGAGATATTCATGGACAGTATACAGATTTACTGAGATTATTTGAATATGGAGGTTTCCCACCAGAAGCCAACTACCTTTTCTTAGGAGATTATGTGGACAGAGGAAAGCAGTCTTTGGAAACCATTTGTTTGCTGTTGGCTTATAAAATAAAATATCCAGAGAACTTCTTTCTCTTAAGAGGAAACCATGAGTGTGCTAGCATCAATCGCATTTATGGATTCTATGATGAATGTAAGTGAAAATAAAGACTTAGAAAAGTAATTCATGGAAAGATTGCCAAATAATTTTCTGGTTCAGAAGAGTTCCTTTGATTCAGAGTTTTTTCAAAATAAGATCTATCAGGCATAGGCCAGGAAGAGGAACCTGAAACTGGGAAACATTACTGATTAAATTGGTTCCTTCAGATCTCCTTGGTCATGTTTCAGATTGACTGCAGCTTACTTGGCTGAAGAGGCTCTTTTAAAATTAGTTTATCTAGTAAACCATCCAGGTGAAACAGAAGTCTGTGGCTTTTGGTTTTCTAGTGTCCATTAAGGTTTTAGCTCTCAGCATTCTTGTGGTATGACAGAAGCTCTTATTAGTCCTGTGTCGCAAGAATCATTGAGAAGTTCTATGAAACTATTTAAAAGTCAAAGTTTAATATTATTTGAATGTAAATCTGTGTCTATAAACCTTGAAAGACAAAGATACTGAATACTCTGGGGTATCCTTATTTTTATTCTCTTTTTCATTAGTAGGAAATCACCAATTTGGTTTTGTGTAGTAGTGTTTCCAAGTATTATTATTAAAATACCCTACTAGATTCGTATGTGGTCTTTTGGTTTTATTAGATAAGAGTACAAAAGTATATGTTTGGTTAATTATAAGTTAGAATAAATTATAATTATTTTCAAATTCTTTTTATTGCTGTTTTCCCTATTAGAATCTACTTTTGCTTTTTTTTTTCATCCTTCATTATGTTAAAGACCTATTCAAACTCCTGTCTTACCAATTTATATAAAGATTTGACAAAGTTTGAGGGTATATGTGCCAGGCAGTATTGTGAACACTGTGCATGAAGCAGTGCACAATACAGATGATCTCTGTTCTCATGGAGCTTACATTCTAACAGGAATGATTCTGTATTTGATTTTGTATTGTATTTTTATTTCCGAGATGTGCTGTATGGTTTGAATTACTTAAATCAGACTAGAATAGAGAAAGTGGGTTTGAGTACATCAGACTACAACATTCTTCCTAAAGCTACGTCAGAGATGGAGGTATATTTTTAAAGGATAAAAGAAAGGCAAGAATGTCCTTGGGGTTAGAAATGACATCAAATAAAATAATGTATGAGAGAGCAACTTGTAAACAGTACTTTGAGTTATATACTTATAAAGGAGCAGGTTGT